TTGCACTTACTCGTCAAACTTGGCACCCCCGAGAGAACGTGTCAGAATGCTCTCCACAAGTCCACCACGAGTTCAAGTTAAACTAGTGTTCCCCGCCTGTGACTGCCCTTTAAAAATTTGTGGAGGGTGGTCCTACGGACACCTCCACAAAATGACTTCTTGGCGAGTATTCCAGCCTCACGACTAGAGATCTCATGCCCAACCGTTTTTTACTTTTCTGCTGAACGTAACCTGTGGCCATCAAGCGCAACTAGGAAACTGACTCGCCGCAATTTCGTGCTTTTTCACTCACCACCCTTCCGCCATGGATTGTGGCGGATGGAGAGTAGTGCAACTGGGCCCTAAGCGAGATCCAATCAGATGAACGTCCTTCGGGAGAACCTTTATTTATATTATTATGATCAGGGTGACCAGCGTTCGGGACGGGCCGAACGCCCGAACCCGAACGCCCGAACGCCCGAACGTATGGGACCCCTTGGGGATGCGTTCGGCCGTTCGGGCCGAACGCGGACCCAAAAAAAAAAAAAAAAAAAAAAAAAAAATCAAAAAAATCTGAAAAAAAGATATGTTACAGAGAAAAACAAATTGAACAAGATTTGCATGAGCATTACACCCAAATTCCTACCAAATTTGAAATAAAAATAAAATACGGAGAAAAATACTAATAATAAAAATAAAAAGAGAATTCAATTTAGTGAGTGCGCGAGCATGTTTTCGACACCGCCATCTTTGGCGATTTTTCATTTTTGTTTGGCATAGCTAAATGCTCTGAAAATTTACAAATGTGTACTTCACATAATACAGAACCCACTAAAAAAGTTAAAAATAATAATAAAATTGTTTAGACCCCGAACTAAAGTGAAAACAAAAAGTAAAAAGTGAAAAAATACGTGGCAAGCACGTTCTGACACCGCCATCTTTGGCGATTTTGGCGGGGGCCGAACGCCGTCAGGTTCGAACGCCATCAGGTTCGGACCCCGTACGGGACCGAAATAATTTTTGGCGGAGGCCGAACGCCGTCAGGTTCGGACCCCGTACGGGGCCCCGAACGCCCGTACGTACGGAGATCTGCCCGGGGACCTCCGTACGTATGGGCTGGTGACCCTGATTATGATTATGATTATGATTATGATTATTATTATTATCATTATTATTATTATTATTATTATTATTATTATTATTACTATTATTATTATTTTTATTTTTATTGTTATTTTATTTTTTTGTTTGAAGGTTTGCACTTATTACAAATGAGCATGCCGAGGCCGGGAATCCATCACAAACAACCCGCAAATGTCTGGGGTCATTACCCAGTTTAGGCTCGGAGCTGGAAACGGGGTCCAGCGTCCCATAGATCTGGAAACTCAAAGAAACAACTGCCAGTGGAGGAAAGAGGCAAACAGAAATAAGAGGGCGAATATATCTACTACGTGCACACTTAATTCTGCACACACCGAGAGCTGTTGAATGCTTAGGTCGGCTTCTGAGAATAGCCACCCTGCCCCATGAGGGATCATCGCTGGAAGCCCGGTCCAGCATCTCATAGCTCTGCAAGGGACGCTGGAAACTCAAAGAAACAACTGCCAGTGGAGGAAAGACGCAAACAGAAATAAGAGGGCGAATATATCTACTACGTGCACGCTTAATTCTGCACACACCGAGAGCTGGTGAATGCTTAGGTTGGCTTCTGAGAATAGCCACCCTGCCCCATGAGGGATCATTGCTGGAAGCCCAGGCCAGCATCTCATAGCTCTGCAAGCTCAAGGAAAGAATTCAAAACTGAACAAAGAAGACCGAACAGAGAAAACTGAGACAAAAAAGCAGTCAAAATAAGGGCGTACTCACACAGGGGTGGCATATCAGCAAAATCTGCAAAATTTGCAATGATCCCGCTTTAAATTTGGTGGAAGTACTGCCCCACCCGCTCACAAATCGAAAAGGACACGAGCGGGACTTACTGCCAACAAATTTCAACTTGCTGAAATGGTGCGTCCCGCGTGTCGTCTATCACACGTTCATTTTGTGTTTCCTCTGGCTTGGAGCAATTGATACAGGCACCAAATTTTCCTTTAAATTCACGAAATTGCAAACTGAAAAAAGGAGTTTGCTACCACCTCCAGAGGTGGTAGCAACATGCCCTTTTTCACGGCGACTTGCCAAGCCGCTGACATTTGGTACCCCGTTTGCTAACTTTCCTGGTCTTTCCATGCCTACTTTCCTGGTTGTGTGATCGGCCCAACCATTAAAATATTTGTCATTTCGCGATAAAAGGCCCTAGTGTGAGTATGCCCTAAGAGGAGAAAAGTAACTACCAAATTTACTGGGAATCCCCAGCTCCTGAATGACTACCTTCCCCATGGACACCGTATAGGTAATATTTCCTAGGTCATAATCCACAAACTTAATCACAGTGGAAAATTTTACAAACTTCCAGCCCATCTGACAGGCAGCGATCCTGCAAAAACGGACATACTTATTTCTTGCTTGTACCAAAAATTTGAAAAACCTTTTCTCCTTGAACAGATCAATCGCCCACTCGAGGGCCGATAATAGCCGAGTACGGCAACTGGCAGAACATTTCCTTGACATCGAAAGAGCCAAGTCCTCTTCAAGCCGAGGGTCGTTATCAATTCTATTCACAAAAGGAATCAACAAATTTGTACTACGCAAATTAAAATGTGATCGTACTTGTAGTGGTTTCAGCGATTCATTAAAGCACTATCAGTTAAGACACAATTCGTGAAGCACGTCTGGTAGGTTCAGTACAAGAGGGGCAAATAGGCCTCGGAGTCCATCTCCCAACATCGTAAATGTGTGCTTCGGAAGCACATAGGCTCTCCCCAACTTTCCATTCCATCAGATGCCCAAGGCGCCAGAAGATTCTTTTTTTTTTTTTTTTTTTCGACAAAAACTCCTTCCTACTTGCAGCAAGCACCTCCTGCTCTGTCACCGGGAGCACATGCAATCCCGGATTGTCCAAGAAACTCCTACCTCATATAATTTCGGACATTGTCAACAGAATAGAGTATCACCATGGCATATTGTCACCCTGAACTATTTTGCTTTGGGGCCTAGTTCCAACACTGGCCATCCACCAATATTCTGAATGCATCTGCACATGCCCATTGTCCAGATGCATTCAAAATCTTGAAGGATGGCGAGTGGTGCAACTAGGCCCTCGGACGGTAGATCGGAGGGGGATGGATGACCAGAAACAGTGAATCCGGGGACATGGAGTGTTGTGGCCCGTCCAGGGCACGGACTCGTGGTCTACAGAGTGTCTCGGACGGATCCCTCCAGTCCATAGGAATCAGCTGGGGGACACCGAACAGAAAAGGGAATACAAAAATTTAAAGGGAAAATTGTAGAAATGCCCCTGGAAGTTGGGGTATTTCGTCATATACTCGTGAAAGGCATGGGAGTGGCGGAATGCCCTGATGACAGTTGTGAAACTTTGCGAAATACCCCACTCGCCAATTGGACCTGTCATCTGTTGCATATACCCCCCTACCGGGCCCTGGGCAACTTGTCTATATGCCCCGTATTTCTGGCCGTTGGACCCTGCAGATGGCAAAAGAGATGCACGGGCCCCATCCGCCCAGGGCCAGGGCATATGGCACAGTTGTCAATGAGCGGGACCCGGGCAGGTGCAGAAGTTTATGACATTTCAGCGTACCCCTGTGTTTTAGGGTATCTAACCAACTACCCAAACCCTTGGGGATATTTCAACAATTTTCGGAACAAGAAAAGAAAGAAAGAAAGAAAAAAACAGAAAAGAAAAGGTGAAGAAAAAGGCTCAAGCGCAAGATAGACACACACACAACCAATATTGGGGTAGAACTGTTGAAACACAGAACCAAGTTCGAATGCAGGTGTGAAAAGAATAAAATAATTCCGAATAACCTCACAATTCGAATACAGCAATTGCTTATAAAATCCGTACGAGGCTGGGGGCCTCACAAGTCCACCCGGAAGGCCTGGCAGCATCAGCCAGCTTAGCTTACAGCCAAATGCCTGCAGAACTCCCCACTAGTGTCGAGTTCCCAATACCATATAGTTACGTCATGTCTGACTTGCAGTAGAGTTTTGCTTGGGCGTGCCACTATCAACTGGACAAAGTAAAATGACAGTCTGCCTGTAGTCTGCTTACGTGACCAAGATTACTTTCTTTTTTTTTTTTTACAAAGAAAACTCAACTCATTCTATTACGCACACCGAAGTTTACTCTCCCAGTTCCTCCACTTATCACTTAAGCCAACTGAACTTAGGGTCTCGTTAGACACTCCTAAAAGTTCCTGTTTTGAGGATTGTGTCTTGCTTGCACGCAATCCTATATCCATTTTCGAGATCGAAAATGTGAAAACGGCGTTAGGACCAGTCCTAAAAGATTTAGGATTCCCCAGCCATTATCGTCCTAAAATTTCCAGTAGCCCCCGACCTACTGAAAATTTTAGGATTCGCGCGTCTCACGGAGTCGTGGCGTCGCGCGCATTACACCGTTTCTCGGAAGTGCTGGTTGGCGGGGGGAGGTACACCA